GGAAACAGCCAGAGCCCTGCCTGGTAGGGCTGCTCAGAGAACTCCTGGTTCAGCATTTCACACCCATCCCTTTGCTTGCAGCTTCCACTGCAAGTCCCTCTCTGATTTTGCTTTTCAGACTGATCCCAGCAGTGACCACAATGCCATCAGCTCTGGAGAGCCCGGAGGGGGGAGAGGAAGACATTTTGCACTATGAGGAAATAGAAGATGATGCTGTCAGGTGAGTTCTGCCCTACACAATAGCACAGACACAGCCTTGGATAAGGCAAGAGATCTTCCAGGTAAAGGAGTGATCCTCCTCATCTGAAGAAGTGATCAATCAAATACATGTGCTGTGAAATCTTTGTAGTCAAACTGTACTGTAAGGTTGGAAGGGATGGGAAAGAGTGATCTGGCAGGGCTGACAACAAACGCTCGACTATGAAAGTCACATTTCAGAAACACTCTTGACTATTTGGCAGCTGTGTTTGTGTCTTCCTGGCCGAGGGGAGCCAGTTTTCCATGGCTTGCTGGGCAGGCTTCTTGTTTTGAAAACTGACTCTAGAGGTGAACTCTGCTCTGATGAGCTCTTGCCTTTGCAGAGTACCCAGGTCTAGGCAAGGACGTTTTCTAGGAGGTTACTTTAAAAAACAAGTGTTCTGAAAGCCAAGGCTTCAGACTTGGAAAACAGGAAGGCTGACTAGGGTGCTTTCTAGAAGATCTAGACGGGCTGGTTGACTTCTTTGACTTGACAGGCTCATCTTCATGAGAAGTTAATGTTTGCTGGCTCTGCTGGCACACTCAGTGGGTCTGGAGTGTTCAAAGCCTCTCTTAGAGCTAACACAAGTGTGCTAGCTGTAGCAAAGTAGTGATAAAAACTGTGAGGTGCACTTTGGCATGATTTGTGTGTGTGTTGATTCTGTACCAGTGTCCTGATGCTGAACCTGAAGGGTGGCTGTAGCCAGGGGGATGTGGGTCTCAGGCAACCACTGACAGGAGGAGAGGACACAGCCTTCAGCTGCACCAGGGGAACTTTAGGTCAGACAACAGAAAAAATTTCTTCACTGCAAGAGTGATTGGGCACTGGAATTGTCTGCCCAGGGAGGTGGTGGGGTCACTGTCCCTGGATGTGTTTAAGAACAGCCTGGATGTGGCACTCAGTGCCGTGGCTTAGGTGCTGAGGAGGTGTTAGGTCATAGGTTGGACTTGATGATCTCAAAGGTCTTTTCCAACCCACTTCATTCTGTGATTCTGTGTCCAGATAGGTGCAGTGCCTGGAGCCTAAAATCATATATTTTAATGTTTTGGGTCTTTTTTAAAACAAGACACCTTGTGAAAACTTGAAAAACCAGTGTAATGCAGGAGAAATAAACTTTTTAAGGGTATTCTTGCCCTGTTTTGCCATTCAGCTCTCATCTCTTCACTAACAATTGATATCCAAGTTGGGAAAGCTGAGGGACCTACCTGAGCCTTTTTTCTTCTCCAGCAGAAGATACCACCAAGGCCCCCATGCCCTTTAGCCTGCCCTGATGCTCCCCATATGCTCAAGGCTTCCTTGTGTAGTGTTGTTGGGCTCACATGGATGAGAAACAAAAGTCATGGTGCAAGGATCAGCAGGTCCTTGGCAGTTGCTTCAGCATCCTGGGCCAGAGCCCCTGGTAAGCCCCAGCCCTCCTGGAGTGGCAAGTCTGGTTGGCACATGGGCTGCTTCCTCCCGCAGGTGCCAGCTCAGCCTGCAGGGTGGCCTGAGGGTCCCACCTTGTACATCCTCTAAACTGGGATGGTAGGTGGTGGGGGATCCCTCCAAACACAGCAGGGACAAACGCCTTGCTGCATGAGGCAGTGGGGTGAAAGGAGCTCTGTTTGCCTGCAGCCCCATGGACCTTTCGGAGCTGCTGAAGGAGGGGACGAAGGAATCGCACGACCGCGCGGAGAACACTCAGTTTGTCAAGGACTTCCTGAAGGGCCGCATCAAGAAGGAGCTCTTCAAGGTGGGTGTTGCTCTGCTCCCCATCTCTGTGATGCACCCAGTGACTGATGCAGGCTCCAAGGCAGAGCCCCACAGCCTGGGGGTGCTATGGTGGTGGGCAGGGCAGAGCCTTGGCTCCTTCATGCATTGCCTGCCTGCTACAGGCTCTCCAGGCTGGTTTTGTGCCTGGCCTGGGGGTTTGCTCTTGTTTACCCCAGTTCCACGTAGGCAGGAGTAGCCATGAGATGAGTTGTGCCCATCCAGTGAGCAGCTTCTCACGTGAGCTGTGCTCTGTCCATAGCTGGCCACCGTGGCCCTTTACTTCACCTACTCTGCTCTGGAAGAGGAGATGGATCGCAACAAGGACAACCCTCTCTTTGCTCCTCTGTATTTCCCCGTGGAGCTTCACCGGAGAGAAGCTTTGGCCAAAGACCTCAAATATTTTTATGGGGAAGACTGGAAAGAAAAGATCCAGTGTTCAGAGGCAACTCAGCAGTATGTGGACAGAATCCATCACGTGGGACAACACGAGCCAGAGCTGCTGGTGGCTCATGCTTACACACGCTACATGGGGGACCTCTCAGGTGGCCAGGTGCTGAAGAAGGTAGCCCAGAGGGCCCTGAAGTTGCCTAGTACTGAGGAAGGGATCCAATTCTACGTGTTTGACAACATTTCCAACGCACAGCAGTTCAAGCAGCTTTACAGAGCAAGAATGAATGCTCTGGACTTGGACAGGAACACCAAGGAAAGGATCGTGGAAGAGGCCAACAAAGCCTTCAGATTTAACATGCAGGTACTAAACAAATCCCTTGATGTGTAGGTGCTGCAGCTTTTAGGTCTGGCCCAGGTTAATTCAGTCACACCACTCACCCAGTCAGTGGTCTGGGGCTGAAACCACCACAGCCCCTCCTTGAGGAGTTGGGTTTCTAGTTGAACTACCTCTTTCACTAGCTTCAGGCAGGAATTCCTCCCATGCTCCAACACCACAGCCAAGCACTTTGATTAAGGCAAAATTAATATGACTTGAAGATTCCCACAGGCTGTGTGGCTGTGAAGCAGTGAGGAGAGCAGAGCTCTTGTGCCAAGACAGCCTCAAACAGTTTGAGTGTGCTGCACCACCCTGGTGACAATTCATCTCCTGTCTCAGGTCTGACTTGTTGCCCTATGGTCAAAAATGTCTGGAGCCTCCCATAGCATTTGCCTCTCATCAAACCTGACCGAGCTGCCTTTTTCCCCAGGGGGTGAACACAGATTTAGCTACTGGATGGAAGTTTTAATCTTGTGCTTGTAGCAGGTCAGTGTGATTTGAACTGGCCAGAAACATGGTGAGGTGTGGTTGGCTCCTTTGTCAGGATCCTTATGGAATGCCATGGCAGCGAGAGGGGCTGCCTGACCACTGCAGGAGCTGGGATCCTCCAAGGGTCTGCAGCAGGGAGGGGAGAGCCTGTTGCCCCACACTCCCACCCACAGCAGGCTGGGAAGTGAGCAGCAGAGTGGTGCTGCCTTGCTCCTGGCTCTGACTGAATGCTCTTAGGATGGGCTGTGCCTTCCTGGAGCTGCAACATGTGCCGGGTGTCACCCCAGCTCTGCAGTGGATGCCTGGAAAGGTGTCTGGGGACAGGGAAGCAGGAGTGGTGCTTGCCTGTTCCCCAGATGATTGCAGGGCTGTGGCTGAGAGCTGCCTGGCTCTGCCTGCTTCATGTACTCACTGTGACCACTTGCAGGTGTTTGATGAGCTGGACAAGATCGGCAGGTCGCTGGGAGAAGAAGCTCAAGATGGAGGCTTTCCAGTCCATGATGGAAAAGGAGACATCCGCAAATGCCCTTACTATGCAGACAAACTGGGTAGGTGGTGGCAACGAGGGAGCTGCCACGGGCGTGTGGCACAGGAGTGGCAGGGCTAACGGTGCTTTCTGTGTCCTGCAGGCACGGCAAGCCCTGGCTGCCCCTTCCACGCTGCTGTGGGCCTGGCCAGGCAGCCCCTGGTGCAGCTGCTGCTGGCAGCCTGCATGGCCGTGGCAGCGGGAGCTGCAGCCTGGTACATCCTGTGATGGGCACAGTGTGGCTCTGCCTGGGGGCAAGGGGAGAGATGTGCCCTGCCTGCTTTCCGACCTTTCCCTTACTGGTGGTGAGTTGGCTGCAGAGTGGAGTAAGGAAATAAACAGGAATCCTGTGGGACTGTCCAAGCCTCCTTGCACACCACTGTAACACGTCTTTAGCTGACTAGTGCACGGGACTGGTCAGTGCCAGGGGGTGAGGACTCCTCTGCAGCACTGCCCTGCCCAGGCTGGGGCAGCTTTTAAGGCTAGAGCTGTCCTGTCCTGGCAAAGGCTTCACATGCTTGGCTTTTCATCTCCATCCCTGAAGCAGTGTCTGGAGGAGGTTTCCTGCCCTGGGTTGCATATGCAGAATGTGTCATCAGCCTTTCAAACAACGAGCATTTGCTTTCCTACCCTGAGAAGCTGAGGCTCTGTCATGGGGCTGTTGGCTCAGAAGAGTGTCCTGTTTGATGCAATGTCTGAGGAAGCAAGTCTGACTCCTGTTGGAGGGAGCTCCCTGGGTATGGGGGCAGGACCATGGTGGAGTATGGAGGTGACAGATGTGTATTGTGCAACTTCAGGGTTGAGGGTTGGTTGTTGGTTATTTTTCCTGAAGCCTTGACTGAAATAAAAAGTTGCAATGCTGTAGCTGGGGGAAGCCAAAAGCACATCATTGTGAGAATGGGGAGGGGGCTAAGGTGGAGAAAGGGAGGGCCATCCCAGACTGTTTCACTTGTCTCTGACTCATGCAGTCCCTGAGAAACCTGCCCTGGCACCCCACTGTCCCTGCTATTTCCCCTGGGCTTTCCATGTGGTGAGGCTCATTGCCCTGCTGAGGACACAGCCAGGTGGTGTCAGGGCTTGGGGCTTTCCTGTGGTGAGGGATTCCTGGTAAGGTAGGGAATCTGCTGCCCTTCCTCCTGTGCTTGCCCCACCCTGCCCTCATCCTCAGCTCCCCTGCAGGCAGATCTGCTGTGAATTTTGAGCAGGATAGAAGAAAAGATGCACACGAATCCAGGGTCTGTTATTTATTTACATAAAAACACTGACTAGTGCCACAGTTCCACCCCTGAGCAAACAGCAGCTGCCTGTGCAGGCCAGGCTGTGTTTGCAGACCTGTGTACTGAGAGACCCCCCCACTTTGCTCTGGGAGCTGCAGGGGCAGGGGAGGGAGGAGCAGCCCCGAGAGGCTGAACTTGGCTCCCAGGTCCTTTGGCCCCTGCTCTGGAGTGCTGCTGGCAGCTCCTGTCGCTGCCTGCTTGCCCCTTCCTTCTGCCTCAGGTGCGTGAGCTAAAAACACCCCCTACACCACATGCAAGGAGGACCCCACAGACCCTGCCGGGCCCAGGACGGCTCTGGAGCTGCAGCCTGGTAACAAACTCCTCTACTCTACGTGCCGGGCAGCCAGGACATGCTGGGTGTGGTTTTGGCTCTCAGGTTGCCGGGGGGCCAGGGCTGCTTGGGGCTGTCCCTGCCCCCAGAGCCGGCGGGGCTGGGAGGAGGCGCATGCAGCTGGAGTGGCCGCCGGGCAGGACGGAGGGGCTGATAAGGGCGCAGCGCGGCTGCCGGGCCCCGTGTGCTTAGAGGCAGCTCTGCCTCCCCTCGGGAAGGGGCTTTGCTGCGGGGCTGGAGGGGGCTGTGAACCACACGGAAGCCTGGTGTATGGCACTGCCCTGTCTCCTTGTCACTGAACCCCTTCCTGAAAGTGCCACAAAGGCTGTGCTGCATCCCCTGAGGGCACCATGGGCTGTTTGGGTCCCCTCCTGGGCTCCCATCCCAGCACATCCCTGCAGCCAGGCACCCCCTGCACTGTGGGACAGGGGTGGGCACCTCCAGCAGCTGCTGCTCTTCCCAGGGTTGCTCCAGGTGAGAGGGGCCTCGTTCACACCCTGGAGCGTAATGGGGTGCAGAGCGATGCCCCCCACTCCTGTGCACTGCAGGGCAGCTCCCACCCAGCATCTGGGGCCTGGGCCCACCTCCCCTGTGCCTCAGTGTCACCAATCCAACTATTCCCAGTGAGGAGCAGAGCTGGGGGCAGTGGTGGCAGCTCTGCGCGGGAGGGAGCCGGGGATAACACATACACACCACCGGCGGGAAGCGAGGGCGATGCACACGCGGAGACGGACAGACGGACGGCAGCGGGGCGGGGCCGGCGGCGTTCCAGTGGCTCCCGGGGTGCCGTTAGCACATGCGCTTGTACGTGTAGATGTAGGCCTTGCAGTTGGGACACGTGTGTGTCACGTCCTTGAAGTCATCGAACAGGCAGGGGATCAGGCAGCAGCAGAGATCGCACCTGGAGCACAGGGAGAGGCAGAGATGCTGAGCTGGGGCAGCCCCTGGGCATGGAGTTCTCTCTGGGCCATGGGCAAGAGATGTAATTGTAGGGGCTGTCACCCCAGGAAGCCACTCTGTGCCAAGGTCCCCACCATGCCCAACAGCTCAGCCAAGGCCACCAGCACCGGGGCTACCCAGGACCAGGCTGAGCACCCAAGACGAGACCCCAGCTCTGCTTGCAGCACCTACCCCACGAAGCAGCAGAAGAAGCCAAGAAGGAAGCTCATGAGCCCAATCTCGTAGGAGATCTTGGTGGTGATGGCTTGCTGGCAGTGGGGACACACCGTCTGCACGGGGGCACCCTGGAAGATCTCTCCCTGCAGCACTGTGACTGTGGTGGCAGCTCCCGGTGGGACGAGCACTGTGGCCGTGTGGCCACCAGGAGAGGGGTAGGGGCCTGGGGCAGGGTAGTAGCCCATGGGGGGGTGAGGGCCTGGGGGCGGGTAGTATCCTGCTGTGAATGACAAACACAAACAAGTGAGTACCTTTGTACTTGGCAGGAGAGCCCAGATCCTTATTGGGGAGACCCTCACCCTGCTACAACACCACCCTCTGAATACAGACCTGGGGCCAGCCCTGCTACAGGCACTGTGCCCCCCACCCCATCCCAAGGAACCTCACTGCAAGCTCCAAATGGCAGCCCCAACCCCCTCTTGTGTCCCCCCCCCTCCCCAGGAAACGTGCTGCTGCTGCTGCCAATCCCCACCCCGTCCCCCAACCCCTTGCAGGACTCACCTGGTGGCACATAGGGCCCAGAGCCATCCGTGGGCATGTGGGGGGGTATGAACCCCGGCTGCGAGGGTGGCTCATATGGGGGGGGTCCGAACTCAGGAGGGGGGACAGGAACCCCCTGGGGCTGTCCCACCACTGGGGTGACACCCTCTGAAAGGAAACACAGTCAGCAGCCAAGGAGGCAGTAGAACTGAGGGGAAGATGGTGTCCTGGCTGTGTGCTCAGGGTGTCAGCCCCAACAGGGAAGGGAGACAAGAGGTGGGGGGGCAACCCCTTAAGCTGCATCCTCCTCTGGGCCACAAGAAACCCAAATTCACCCCACAGCAGGGAGCAGTGCCAGGCTTTGAGCTGGGAGTGCTTCCTGTTCTCCCCTAGGACTCCCTCCTGCCTCCCCCCAAGGTGACACGGGGACAGAGCCAGGCATTGCACCACCCTTCCAGCGTGCTGTGAGGAGAGGCCACAGCCAGGCAGTGCCAGGGAACCCACGCTTCTTGGCTCCTGTGTGTGTGGCAATGTCACCCCCCAGTACCTGGTGCAGAGGGGGGGCCGTGCTTCTCTTCTATCAGCGGTGCCGAGGGGCCCCCCGGGTAGGGTGGGGGTGGGTCGTTGGACATTGCTCCAGGCAGCCCTGCAGGGACAGAAGCCTTTGGGTGACACCAGCCCTTGGTGCCACAGGCACATGGAGCTGGCGTGGGGCTTGGGGATGGAGGTGACAGGTGAAGGAGGAGGCCAGGGCTGGTGCCACCCCTGCACCAGCCTCAGCTTCCCCCCCAGGCAGAACCAGGGGTATGGCCCCAAAGCTGGACTGGCTCTGACCAGGCAGCAACTCCAAGGTGTAAAATCTTCCTGCCAGCTGCATGGGGCTTCCCTGCAAAGCCAACCTGGTGCACAGCAGCTCATCAGGGCAGCTCTGGACTGCATGGCCACACTCCAGGGCAGCGCTGGGCTGGAATGTGCTGTGCCAAGACTTGGCTGCATCACTGGGGTACCAAAGGTGGGGAAGAGCTGCCACAGCCCCCCACCTCCACCCTCAGTGACACAATGCTGCACCCTGAGGGATGGAAGGACCCCTGCCCTGAGCCTGAAGCGCAAACTCCGGGACAGAGGGTGCAAACCCACAGAGCATTTCTAAATAAATCTCTAAATAAATCCAGTGAGTTAAGGTAAGACCATATTTAACAGCTGGAACTGTTATTTTACATGGGGTAGAATTTACCTGTCCTCTTCCCTGCAGCAACAGCTCAGAGGCCTTGACAGCTGAGAGAAGCAGCTCTTCTGAGCAGCGTAGTTTGGAAGGTGACTTCTTCTACTGGGTCTGTGCAAAAGGACACAGCAAGTGAATTACAGAGATGGAGAGGAGGCACAGCTGCAGCACTGTCCTGGCTGCCACACCAAACCCCTTCTCTCCCCCAGGCAGGAGCCTCCCCATGTGCCCCCTCAATGGCAGGCATGAGGGCTCTGTGTCTTTGGCACGTGGCAAAGCCCCACTGACATGCTCTGAGATCCAAGGAAGTGCAAGAACATCAAGAAACCTGATTTCCCCATTTCCAGTGGCTCAGTTACAGCTGGTAGGATGTGACTAAATTGGGAAATACAAGTGAGAGGCTGCTCACTCAGTGCTTGGGACAGCTGCCATCAGGCATTGGACAGGGTGACATTGCTGTCAGAGCCCAGGGAGCAGTGCTGGGAGCTCCATCCTTCACCCCAACGGGCCAGGAGCAAATGTGACCCTGCTTGTCCTGTTTGCTGGCACCAGAGCCACGTGCTGGGCAGCCAGCCCAGAGCATGCCAACCTCTCCAGCATGGCACAGCCTGCACAGGCACCAGGCCAGGCAGCCAGTGCTGCCCCAGCCCTGCATTGCAGGTGTGCCCACAGAGGTGCCCGTGGGGCTCAGCCACCTCCACCTGCAGCTGCCAGGTCAAGCAGAGTCAGACTTGGCAAGCAAGGCAGGAAGACCCATCCCTCCCTCACCTGCATGACTTTGCTTTATTCTACTCCTTTTTTCCTAGTTCACACTCTCTGCCACCCCGCAGCCTCCTGCAAGGTAGCAGGAAATTTAATCAGTCCCTGGAGGAGCACCATCACCTGTTGCTGCTCACAGAGGAGCACGCTGATTCCCCCAGGAGCTGAGCAGATTCCTGACAGGCACAGGGTCTCCCCCAGGTCTCCTGACTAAATTTCTCCCCCACGGTCTGGAGTTGCAGCCACACAGCTTCAAGGAGTAACACCAGGGCAGCTGCGGGTCATCTTCCTCCTGCTTCTCACTCCAGTTTCTTCCTTAAGAGCCCAGGCAAGCAGAGTTGCCCTGGCACAGAGCATTTCCAGGCACACTGCAGAGCCTGCCTTCTCCTTCAGTGACCTACAAAGCTCAAACTGGGCTGTGCTCCTTTTAGCTCAGTGGGGATGTGAAGAAAAGGATTTATTCTTCTCAAAGTAGCCAACCCTGCGCATCCAGGAACCTCAGATCCTCCTGGGCCCATGCCTGCAGGGGTTCTGGGTGAGGCCAGCCCAACCAGAGCATCCCAGAGTCCTTACCTGGGGACACCTCCCTGCCTGAGGGAGTTTTCCTTCCCTCACAGGCCAACTGTGCCCACAGCTTTTCTAACGTAATAGCTCTCCTCCCATTCCCGCTCAGATGCTGCTTTCCCATAATCATCTTTCAACACTCCCCAGCCTCATTCCCCCCATCAAAGCAGCTGGCAAGAAGAGGCAGGAGAGGAGGAGTCCTCCACCAGCCACTCCACCAACACCCATCAGATGAAGCAAGAGCCCCAGGGTGAGGCAGCCATGAATGCTGCCACCCTGCCCAGGAGGGAATGGCAGCCACGAGGGTGCCACCCTGGCTCCCGGAGCCACACGTGCCCTGGGATGAGGGAAGCTGTGGGATGCAGGGCTCCTCTGCTCGTACTTGGCAGGCTCAGTTGCTCCTAATGCAATATTCTGCTTATTAAGAGAGATCTGTAAAGAGCAAGGTGTTGGCTGTGTGCCCTTCCCAGGAGGAAAAGAAAGCCTGTTGCTTTTAAGCCTCTTAGAAGCTGTTTCTCTCCTTTGCTTTCTTTCATCTTAATGTGAGCAGCACAAAATCCAGCCCATTTCTGACAGAGCTCCGTGGGATACCAGAGGGCACTCGGCTCCCCCTTGGCACTGAGCTGCCCCAGAGCATCCCTCACCACCCTGGCACTGACAGCTCTGCAGTATTCCAAAATTACCAGGTTTAAGTTCAAGATCCGATGGAATCACCAATGTCTTGTGCAGGTCCTTTGGAGCAAGGACACACTGCAAGATCCTAAGACTCAAAAGGAGCTGGTTATCATAGCAGGATGGAGAGAGGATATGCTATTTCCAGCTACAAATGCAGATTAGCTCTTCTCAACCGGAAGAACAGCTTTTACTGGCTTCCTCTGCAAACTAACTACAGAGGATAAATCCAGTATGGAACCAGAATCATCACAATCAGTTAAACACAGAAGACAAGGAAGGGACCCCCATGTCCCCCAGGGAATTGGTATTTGCTAAAGAAAATGAAAAAGAAAATATTCCCATTAACCTGCTGGGGCACAGCAGTGTGACAGACAGCCAGGACAGCACAGCTCCATCACAGCCTCCACACAGAAAGGGCTTGGCCCACCCTGGCTATGGCCTCAATCCCTGTATCCTGCCCTGGCTCTCTGCTCCCTGACCTCATTCCAGGCAGCTTTTGGGTGAGAAGATGGCAACAGATTTCTGTGTCCCCTGCTCAGATCAGAGGTGTAACTCTCAGCCCCAAGAGGTCTGCCTGAGGCTTCTCACACAGCTGAAGCACTGTGGGACAGCACCCAGCCCTGCCTGTGGAAACACAATGCTGTCTAATCCACCTCCTTCCTGTGCTCAGCAGCCCCCATCCAGCCAATGAGGGATTGTAGAATCCCAGAACGGTTTGGTGTGAAAGGACCTTAAAGCCCATCTCATTACAGCATCCTGCCATGGGCAGGGACACCTTCCACCAGACAAGGCTGCTCCAAGCCCTGTCCATCCTGACCTTGGACACTTCCAGGGATCCAGGGGCAGCCACAGCTTCTCTGGGCACTCTGTGCCAGGGCCTCACCCTCACAGGGAATAATTTCTTCCCACTTTCCAGTCTAACCCTGCCCTCTGTCAGGGTGAAGCCATTTCCCCTTGCCCTGTCATTCCAGGCCCTTGTCCAGAGGGCATGGATCAATACCCTAAAGCCCCTGGTTCCCATTACTGACATGTTCAAAACTGAGACAAAGCAACTTCCAGCAGTGATGAGAGGAGCTGATGTGTCAGGGTTCAGCATCCCATACTGGCTGTATTTCCCTCTGTTACATCACTGCAGAAACTGTTTGGGATTCAAACATGGCAAGAGGAAAGGTCTGCACATCCCACCTGCTTTCCAAACAGATAAGGTGGGCACCACTCATCAAAAACAACTGGTGTGCAGCGGGACCAGGGAATATTGTGCTACCAGAACAGGTCCTAACACCACAAACCAGATAATGCCACAAAGAGGATGGACACAGATAATTCACATTTGGTCTGCTAATGCCATTCTTCTCCAGCAGCAGCTGTTTGTGCTTCAAGCTGCCTCCTCACAGATGAAATCTCCACAGGTGAGACAAGCCTGGCAAGGGCAGAGCAGATGCTGGCAGGTCCAACTCACGTGTGAGCCCTGATGGTGCAGCACTGGCCCCAGCAGCTCTGAGTCAGCCTCACAGCACCACTGAGATCCATCCCACAGCTGAAACAGCCTGTGCTGTCCTTGCTCCTGCTGCACTTGTAACTGAGATGCACAGCAATTCAGCTTTGCTTCCTCCACAGGAGCAGTGGCTCCAGCCACTGAGACAGGAAGCAGCATTTGTTCATACTCAGCCACGTTCAGTGACGTTGACACTTCAAAAGCTGCTGCTGCACATTTTTGGAGCTCTTACTCCATTAAAAAAAAAAACAAAAACCTGATATTTGAAAAAGGAAAAAACCACACTAAAATTCAATGAAGAAATTAGAGAAAATACATGAGCACTTTCAGCTTCACTGCAGATCAAAGAGATGCAGATTCCAGCTTCCAGGCTTTTGGAAATACAGCTTTAAAAGCCAAGAGTCCTGAAGATGCTGGGCCCTCATTGAGCCCAGCACCCTTCCTTTAGAAATAGGAACAGCATTGTGGCCAACATCATCCCAGTTTTCCTGACCCTAGGAAAGACACCTGTGTGCCACAGGTTACGTGCTCCAGAAACTGAGAAATACTGAGACTAGGAAGGCACAAAAGGCCAGTCAGATGGTGGTAAAATGTCATTTGAGCCAAAGTCTGTTACTCTTCAAAAGGAGCTTTAGGGGCAGCAAGGAGGGAGAACCGAGCAGGGTGTGCTGGGGGCGACAGAGCCATACCCTGATTGTGACAATCCCAATCACCCTCCTACACAATGGCATTTCTGAATGGCACCTCCAAACCCAGCCTGGAGCTGCATGTTCCCTGTGGTACACGCGTGCCCAGAGCTCGCAGGCTTTGCCCTCAGCTTGTGCTGTGCTCAGAGCTCGCAGGCTTTGCCCTCTCTTGCCGTGCCCAGAGCTCGCAGGCTTTGCCCTCTCTTGCCGTGCCCAGAGCTCGCAGGCTTTGCCCTCAGCCTGTGCTGTGCCCAGAGCTCACAGGCTGTGCCCTCTCCGTGCGCATGCCCGCTGGCACAGTGTGCAGGGATGTGGCTCAGCTCCCACCACGCGCAATCCCACCGGACAGCTCTTACCTCCAAAGGAAAGGCAGCAAAAATCTCTGCTGAACAAGCACTGTCAGTGGTTATTTCTGCCTGGTTTTTATGCAGAACAACAAAAAGATGTTTTCCATGCAAACAAGACGAAGCTCCCCCCTCAGCTTTGCCTCTTTCCATGCGCATTTGCTGCCCCCAGCCTGCACATCACCTCCCCGGAACCCGGAGCGGAGGAATAAACAGCACAGAGTGCTCCAGCCTCCTTCAGAGAGAAGGATGTCCTGGCAATCCTTGACCATGTACCCGCTCCTTTACCCGCTGTTAACCTTGGCAGCACCTCCTCAACTCCTCATCCTGGTCTCGGCCAAGGCAGCAAGAGGGCGCATGTCTGCAACGCTCTGCAAGGTGCCGATGGAAACGGAAACCCAAGTGAAGGACTGAAGGAAAGGTCTGTTCTTTTTCTGAACAACTCAGCTGCGTTTTCCCAAGTCCAAATCACTGCCAGGGAGCACAAACCCACTGTTCAAGAACAGCCAAGCTGCTCCCAGAACAGCAGATTTCTTCCACACTTCTGCACTAAGATTTCAGCTGCAGAAAACTGCTTCTTTCCAGGAG